GCCTCCTCCGGCGTCATACCCTACCAGGCGCGTTTCAAAAGCATTTCAGAAGCGGAGCGTCTTGCCTGCCGGCTCGCAGTTTTTTTGTTGATTTGGGCATATTTCCTGGACAGGCTACCTTGTACAGACAAAAGTTAATAATAACTGTAATATTCCAGTTATAAACGACATGAATCAAAGATGTGTTGCTTGTATTTTAGTGGTAACAAAATGCATTCATCATCATAATTATTCTATATATATAATTTACACAGTGCCTGTAAACCGGAGGAGAACGCTGGCATTTCTCCTCCTACTTGAAAGACTACGGAGGGATAGGGTCTGCAAATTAGTTTGTGTGTGTCTATATATATATATATATATGCTATATATGCTCTGAACGTTCCACTTCCTGCCTGCCCGACCCTTACGTTATGGCTGTGCCGCGTCAAAAATAGGATTCATCCTAATTTTAGAGGAGCCCTGCGCGAGCCGCTTCTGGGCCGCTTCTGGGCCGCTTCTGGGGCCGCTTTGGGCCGACTTCTGCAGCCATAACGCGCCGCGTGTGGTGGAATAGCACCCATTGACTAGAGTGGCCGCGATCGCCGCGATCGCCGTGAGCACCGTGGCGCAGCCGTAACGCGCCCGTAACGCGCCCGTAACGCGCCCGTAACGCGCCCGTAACGCGCCCGTAACGCGCCCGTAACGCGCCCGTAACGCGCCCGTAACGCGCCCGTAACGCGCCCGTAACAAGCCCGTAACAAGCCCGTAACAAGCCCGTAACAAGCCCGTAACGCGCCGCAGACGGACCCGGTGGAATCTAGGGGTTAGTGCCCCGGCACTTATTACCCCAGGGCACTTAGTACAGATCGCGTTCACACCGGAATAAGTTCCCTGAGGGACGATTACGCAAATGAGCCGCTGACGTCACTTCGTCTTCTTCTGCTTTGGGTTTAATGGAGGCCGCAAACCACTTCACGGTGGTATACTGCCACCCGAAAGTCCCCCGCGCCGGAAGTCCCCGGAGTTGGGACTGGCTTCAGTAGAAGCTGCTGGGACTCCCAGCAGCTTCTACTGAAGCCTTACGAGGTAAAATCGCCAGAACGCCGACCACCTCCTCATCTCCCACGCTCCCATGTTTTTATTTTGTGTTGCCATAAGTAGTCCTCTCTGCGTTTGTGCGCTGGCGAATTGCTTAATGCTAATAATGCTAATGCGAGGAGAGGATAATAAATGGCGGCTCTACAAAACATTCAGAGTTTTACGGGGCGTTGTTTTGCAATTCGCCCAGCCAATCAGAACTGGGGCACTTTTTTTCCCCCAGGAAAGTACCATCTCTCAGCAGGCACTAAAAATTGGGGGTAAAGTTCCCGGCAACTCAGTACTCTTTTTGGTGTGAACGCGACATAAGGGGGTACTAACGGAACTAAACGCGAAAAGTAGGGGAAAGAAAGTACTCCGGTGTGAACGCGGCTAATATCTCTTGTTTCACACTCCAGGTACTCTTAAGTGGTTTGCCAACCGCCAATAAACCAACCGGTTCCGGACGGTTCAAGAACCGTTATTGTGCTTTTCTGGTGCTTAACTGGTTCTTCTCTGGTTCTGCCCCTTTTCCACCAAACCGGTTCCAAGGCTGGTTCCGGGCTAGAGCCTGATTTAGCTCTGGTTCTTCCTGTTTCAGCCGCAGCGGCGGCTCCAAACACCGCAAACCGGTTTCAACTTCTTAGTTAACCCCACTCGGCTGCCCGGCAAGAAACCAAGAACCACGCTCACGTCGGAAGGGGGCGAGTATAACCTGAGCAAATAATAGTTTATGGCGAGTAGGCCTACGGCAAAATACAAGATAGCAACAATGTAGTTAAGATAGTCAGTTTAGCTTCGGTTGCTATGCTAACATCCACCCATGTTATACCAGAGAAAAACTTCTTAACAGCGTTTGTGATGCCCCAAACAGCGCCAATTCAGACTGAAACACACACATTCACTTAAAGTGGGGGGGGGGATGGGATATTTATCAGCTGCGTGTGTGACAGTCAGAGAGACAGTGAATACTTTCCAGCGGCCGTGAGTTAACGGAGAGAATAAAACTCTGTTGTACGAGCAGCACTCGGTAAATGCCGCTGAACCAGGGGCGGATCTACCGGGGGTGGCATGGGGGTGGGCAACTGCCACCCTAAAATAGACACTTGGCAGCCCAGCAGTGGCGGCGCCAGGTATGGCTGGGGTAGGGCTACAGCCATACCAAGAAATGGCTTAGCCCACTTAGCCCCACCATGAAAAATGATGTTAAAGTAAGCAAAATAAAGTCCGCCAACTCGCGTGGAGTAAATTGCACAGACAGCAGTTAGTAAGATTGATTTCAGTAGCCACTTGTCTGGAAATACCGAAGACTAGAAACAGTTTTGAAAACTTTTGTCACGTAGTGATCGTCTTCTCAATAAAACATCTTTGATAATGTCTTCTGGCCAATCAGAATCACGATAACGGCGTGGTGTGTTGCAGGAAGTCCCGACGGAGAATACTTTTGCGGTAGTACACCTCTATATACATCGATACAACATTACGTGTTGATAGAAATCAACACGTAATGAAATAAGACCCCACGGTTTTGATGATTGATAGGTGTGTGGGCTGTCTTTCATTTTGACACACAGAACAATGGGGGCTATCCACCCTTATCCACAATGTAAAGTAATTCACACAGCCTCTTCCCTCTTCTCTCTGTGAGGAAGCAGCAGGTTCAGCTTTCAGAACAAAGTACAAAAAACAAAAATGGCATTCATTTTCTTTTAAATATGTAGTTATGTAGTAATAGATTTATTTATTTTTCTTCTCAAGAGAGTACCAGAATGTGTATTTTATGTTAGTATTTCAAAAATCTCCCCCAGACCCCCCCTGCAGGGGTGGGTTTTCAGCATGTGCAACTCTTTCACCTGTGGGGAAATTGCAGGATTGGCTCCAGGTCGCCCTTTTTATTACTACAAGACAAATGTGCCTTTTTTATTTCATACAGTTCAATTTGGATTGAGACAGGGAAATAATCTAAACTCACGCGTGGCGTTTTCACTGTCTAAGGGGGGCGATTATAGCGTGTATGTAGGCTATTACATTGCAAATACTGACTTGAGCCCCACCACTGTATGGGTCTAGCCCTACCATAGATTACCCAACAAAAATACTCTGGAGACGCCACTGCACCCAGCTGCCACCCCAGTTGGCACCGTTGTTTTTTGTAAGAAAAGTCTGTGGCTCATCGGACATTTATGATGAGAAAGTCCTCTAATATCCGAGTGCAGGGTTTGCGGTCGAATAGTCCAAAAAATCAGCTCCTATCGTCTATCCCTTGACCTCTGTGTGAAACGTCACAGGGTTAAGGGATAGTGGATAGGAGAATTCAAAAGGAGACTGCTGTACTTTAGAGAATCCGACTGCACTTTCACTATCCGACGTGTTTATGATGCGCCAGCGGACGTCATAAATGTGCGTCTGCTGCTGTGGGGAAACTATGGAAACTACAGTTTTCTATACAGCGGACTACAACATGGATGTATAATAAGAACGAGGGACTACTGTAAACTCATCTAGAGACTCTGTACTGTGCTCTGATGGTGTTGTTTTATGCTTTATGAACGTGGACAACAGAGGAACATATGATCCCAATACGTATGATTGTATGAACTATGAAAAGATCTTAAAATCAATACAAATGTATTTCTTATAAACGTTAGTCCTTAACATCTATCACTGTGTATATCACCATTCAAACATCTTTTAAAAGTTGAACAAACCCCACACAGCTCAGTAAAGACTGTGAAATGTTGACTTTATTTGATCATTTCAGTAAAAACTAACGTTCATATTTCTCTTTTTGATTATAATACTGATGATCGTCCAAAACAAAGCACTTTGGCAAGTTACCGTTTTAAAAAGCGAGGTATTTGCGGTCTACAATTACAGAGAAGAGACTGTCAAGTTTGGCTGTACTCAGCATTGAATCAAAACGCACTAAAGCTGTTGATCTTAATAAGTTTGTGAGGCGTTTTTGCTGAACAACATGATAATCGCCGCATTCAGCTGTAATAGGCATGCCAACTTGCTCTGCTCACGGATGGAGCATAACAAACTGTTAAGATGATGACCTTGTATGTGTATATATTTTTTTCCCTTTGTGGGGGTCTGCCCCCAAACAAACTCTTTTAACCCTTTCATGCATGAATTATGAAAGCCTCACTCACTTTTTTTACCAAGTGTTTTTATTGCTCTTGGGCATGAAAAAGAAGATTTTAACTTTAGTTTATTTTTATCTAGTTTTTTTCAAATTTAGAAAAAATATGATTTATATGTCCACTCAGGTGGATGCGTTAAAGTCTAAACTGAAAACTTGTACATTTGAAAAAAATTATAAATAAAGATGTGCAAACTTAAAATGACATTATAATAACTTAAAGGTGGGGTAGGTAATTTTGGAGAAACCAGCTCGAGTGCGCTTAGAATTTGAAAATACACAACCGGAAAAAATCTGGCCACTTCCTTACAGAGCCCCTCCTCCAACACACACAAACACGCACATGACCAATGAGGGCACGAGATAAGTTGTGCACAGATGGAAGGCTGACAGGCAGGTAGGCCATCCAGTTACTTTAGCCGGCTCAAATGATTGGTTGTGCTTTTTACAGCGCTACGGCCTTCCACGTCAACGTAGATTTTTGCATGAAATTATAATTATTCTGAATGATATTCCTATTGACAAGCTAGTTTCTATGTGAACATTATGAGATGGACAGCCAGAGAGAATAAATGAAAAACAGTTATGAAATACTATATGACAGTAAAACAAGAATAGAGTTTAAAAGGGGAGTGATTTGTAAAATATAAGAAAATAAAATCTGTTTACAGTTCTGTTTCATATGGGTGTTGATTACACAATCAACTGGCGCGGCTTGTTTGCAGAAAAAAAAGATAATTCTGGTCCACACTACAATACAGTAGGTGGCGGTAATGCACCTTTAACGCTGGCTGCCACACGCCATAATACCAGAAGAAGAAGCAGAAGAAGAAGTAGAAGAGCAGTTGTCTTTAAAAATCCACATTTTGTGACATCAAGAGAGGACTATTTTCTCTAACTTGAGTAGTAGCCTACCACGATAGTTTTAAACCGCTGTTTTACAGTGTACGTTGTTTGAAATGTTAATGGTAAAGACAGTGAGTGAACGTTTCCTTTAATTGCGCTTTCATAGCAATCTATCTGGCTTACATTACACTGCCATCATACACGCCTGTACACCTGCACGTTCACGCAAATCATACTGTTAGTGCACTAATAAGCCGGCGACATTACAAGTTTTTTTTCGTAAAGAGAATGTCTGAGCAGACGCTAGAGTATTTCTGGAGTCGGAGAGAAATAATGAAGAGGAACGCTGCCGAGGTCAGATGGTCGCACGCTGTCAACAGCAGGAGCAGGCTGACGGAGGCTCTCACAGGTGGATGTATACAGTGTGTAGATATATTTTCATTCTATAGCCCTTTCCTTTCTCAATTCTAATTTCCCCCTCCCCGACTCCTCTCTTTGGCCCTTCGGCCCAATTCCAAATCACTCCCCCTCCGTGACGGACTGAACTCCGTGTCGGAGTGACACTCTCAGCTCAATGAGGCTCCCTCCTGTCAGATGGAGGGAGTAAATACAGCGGCAAGCTTTGGAACAAACTCCCCTCTCTCCGGCAGAAACAGGAAATGACATAACTGTATGTAACAACGGTTTCAAATCAGAATCTCTTGGACAAAAATTAATAACTAAAATAAAACTCCAAACATCTTTAATTGTGTTACTTTTTTGTAAAGCTCTTTTAGTTTTAAACCTGATGTTTATAAGCTTCTTAGTTTTTGCAACAGTCTGTAAATATACACAACTTTATAATAAAATGCATAGCCTAGGTATGATGACTAAACACAGGTTAAAAAAAATATGAGGTTATCATGAGGTTGTTAACATCGCAATTTATCAGTGAATGTTTGCAGGAACTATTTGTAAACGGCGTGTTTCCTGCAGCCAGCAGGTGTAGGCCCAATCCCAAACCACGCCCTACACCCTACCCCTACACACTACCCCTCCGTTTGCGCGTTCGCGCGGAGGGTCCGCCACATTAAGTGCTGTTCCAAACCAACGAGTGTGGAGGGGGAGTGGGCTATCAAGCCCTCAAACAGCGAGTCTGCATCGGTGCTGACTTGAGACTGGTCTCTGTCACTACCCGATCCGTTCACCTGCCCGATCGGTACTGCGCATGTGCGAGATGGTCCGCCATATTGGACAACTCCGTACGGCAACCCAACTAGGACACTTGACACAGTGGCTTTTGGCAAAGCACACAAAAAAAACTCAAAAAACCGAGAGAGATGAGTTATTGTTATTACAACGTGACTTCACTATTATTTAACAACTATTTCTATTGGGTTCTTTTATTTGGGGTTAAGTACATTGTCAGAATAAGTGAGAAATGGATTTAACTTCTGTTAGACAGCTATCATACTGAATAAATATGTGTGCAAAAACGTATGGCATTAATAATGTATATCTAATTACATTTAAAAATGTATGGCATTAATAATGTATATCTAATTACATTAACTGTGAATGTCTTTCATTTTATTTAAAATGAACAATTACATACAACATTTTCCATAAAAAAGTTGATTCAAGAACAAATCTCTGTTATTAGATCAGTACTTTTCTTATGACTATTATTGCTAAATTTGAAAGGTCTTTACCAGCTTTGGAATTATATATATATATATATAGCACCTTCTGCCATCCCATCTCTACTGACAATCATTAACACTTAGATTTTATGATATCGTAAGCATCGTCAGTGATTGACTTGAACACTGAGAATGTATTTATTAACTTCAGACATTTTCATATACAAATGTGATCATACACCAACACACTTTTTAGAGATATACATTTTTCACACACAACGCACAACCATTTACTAAATTAAACCATATCCCATCATAATACGAGCAAATAAAAAGGCACAACAATAAATATATTATGTGTATGTGTGTGTGTGTGTGTGTGTGTGTGTGTGTGTGTGTGTGTGTGTGTGTGTGTGTGTGTGTGTGTGTGTGTGTGTGTGTGGTGTGTGTGTGTGTGTGTGTGTGTGTGTGTGTGTGTGTGTGTGGTGTGTGTGTGTGTGTGTGTGTGTGTGTGTGTGTGTGTGTGTGTGGGGGGGGGGGTTGTTAAGATCCACGTCCAATGGGGGCAGAGGGGAGAGGTGGGTTCAGCATCCTACAGGAAATGTAATTTGCATGTAATATTATTTATTAATATGGAATAATTTAACTGGAGTTTGTTATCCTTTAATTTTGCTTGATTAATTATATTGCAGGTTGTGGGTAACAGCCAGTCCATGGTAGCAGCACGGGAACAGCTTATTCCTCTGAACTTGTGTGCTTTCCGTTCAAAAACTGCAGGAACCCTAAAACACAGACACAACCCCCTTCCCTTTGTGGTGTATCACAATG